CATACAGGGTGTTTCATAACGAGCATCTCCAAAAAGTCAATTTGAGAAGAGATGGGTCTATATGTATGTATTATATATGAGCCTATTTTATTCTAGACAAACACATTTAGATCAACTAAACATGCTACAATTCAAGAAAGTACAAATGGCATCCCTTTGACTTTTATTTATTACAGTCCGAGAAGATCTTTCTTGACGAAAAGCCCACATTATGAAACACCTTGTATGTTTTCTTATAAGTATAAGTATATACGTTATAAGTTGTATTTTACGTATGTGCGAAATCTCTCTATTGTCTACCAAAACCACGAATAATGTCACAATTAAACAAAATGGAAGTGGTGATTATGCCACACAATAAAATCCACAGCAATCGTATAACATCAACATTTGTTTTAGATGCTTGGAATACATGGAGCACATTGTAGACGGTAATTATCTTTTAGACAAAAACAATAATTATGTTTATCATTAACTTTACACTGTGACGTTCGTAACACTACACCAACACTGATGAGTGTACTGACGTATATAAGTACACAGTTGCCCCAAAATCTGGAATATTAACACTTTGCAAAAGCAGTTTTTTGTTCTAAAACGGTAAATGAGTTTATTCAAGGGAACTAAATAAAATGTTATTAATTACAAATTTAAAGCAGTTGGTTCTTTTTTCTGAACAAACTGAAACATGAATTAAATCCCTAACCGACAACATGAAAGGTAATTAAAACTCATCTGTAGTCTTGATAATTAGTCTAATGGATATTACGTGAAAAAGCACCTGAATTTCATATCATTGTTAAAAGTTATTGTTGTGATACCAATATATTAATATATTGACAATTTTCATTATGTGGAGCAGGTGTTTCACTTATGTCAACAGCTCTAAATTAATTGAATGCCAAGGATTCGATTATTACAATTTGTAACAAAGACAGAGTGCAATATAGGGAGGCTCAAAAATGTACCCAAAAGTGAATCAACAGCATAGACAAACCAATTAATATTTTCAGACATTTTTGCATGGTCACGTCGTCAAAAGATGTAAGTTTTTTTTCCCTATACACAGTTTTTAATTCACTTTTGCCTTTTTGATACTTTAACCCTTCACCTTTAATACCACATAATCAATGCAACCTCATAATTTCGATGACATTCTGCATCCTTACAGCTACATTGTTCATCACATTTTATATTTCTGGTGGGATCTTTTGATTTTTGTTCAATTGCTGGTCTTAAGTTGTTCTAGTTCTCTTAGCTTGGGTTTAGTATAAAAATGGTCCTTCAAACAGCCCCGGAGAAAAAAGTATAGGCCGTCAAGTTTGGTCACTAGGGAGGCCCTCGCAATTTCCTATAGCCTCTAGAGGTCAGACCTTCCAGAAACCGCATTGGTTTGGCTTCTAGTATTAATAGCTTTTGTTGTGTTTTGTTGTGTAAAGGGGCTCAATCAATTTGAGACCACCGTGGTCTCAAGGCTAACTCCCGAACTCCTTTGCCGACAATTGACCTGATTCTCTGTGTTTATTCTGCCATCGTCATCCTTAAACATCCTTCTCTGTGGCTATTTGAAGGAGTGTTTTAATGCAGTTAAGTTGATTATGCGGTGTAAAAGGGTAAAGAGTTTATGCATCCGAAAGGCAAGACTGAAATACAAATGGTGTATTGTGGAGAAAACTTTTATGTTTTGGCTACATGACCATGCAAAAATATTTTAGAAATATTGATTGGTTTATCTGTGTTGTTGATATACATTGGGTATATTTTTTAAGACACCCGATATATATGAAAACCGAAAACGAATTGAAAATCATACGTTAAAATTACTCTTTTCTATGCTTCGTTTACAGTTTCTCTTGGGAAATGTCATTTCTTCAAGGAAAAGAGAGTTTAAGTGGAATAAATGTTGTGTTATGATATCTGTTACCGTATCAAACGTTTTCAACGGGACTTTCCAGGCCTCATGAAAATGCAAGAAATGGAATTTAATGAGGGATTATCTTTTGTTCATTTAAATATTTTGTTTTTATACTAAAAACTGTTTATTCATGACTTTATCTCCCGAAAAGGTACAAGATTTTGCTTTTATAAACTTAGTAAGAATAGAATATACACATACTTTTTCTCATTTATTAATCGATATCAGATGTCAAAATCACTTTTTAATAAAAAATCTGGAATATGGAGTCTAGAATTGAACTTAGTTCAATTTAAGCGATCTAGTTTTTATGTCCTCACAACTTAGGGTGGGGCCATATTGTCGGCCTAGGCGGGTCCGTCCGTCCGTACGTACGTACGTTCGTCCGGCGGTTTTCTCCAAAACCACTACAGAGATAACTTTTTAGTGCATACAAAAAACGTTAACATCTTGTTCAGCTTACTTCATTCTACATCTGACTAGGTTTTGGACCTGTTAGCTCAGTCATGGCAGCCATTTTGAATGTCTTAAAAGTAAGCGCGCGATAATACTTTGTTTGAGTTTTCATACGTTAATTATTTAGTATCTTTATAAATAATTGCAGGTATACTTTGTTGTAAAAGCCTGTTTTATTGTCAACAGTAGTTATATGCGATAATTTTGTAAAAATAATTCAGCAAAAATATATTATCCCTTTTTTATTGTCGGCCATTTTGGATTTTTCCATCCTAGAATCTTGTCGTAGAGTCTCACGTACGTGTTTTCAGGTGAACCGTTGGGTAGATCATTTTCAGGGATGATTCTTACTATAAAACTCTAGATCTGATTAGTTCTTTGGCATTTTGGGGAAATGTCAAGGCAGCCATTTTGGATTTCCGTCATAAAATCTTGTCTGTAAAGTCTAGTCTACGCATTTTCTGGTTAACAATTTGACGGATCAATTTCAATTTTCAGCGATGGTTCTTAGTACGATAATGTAGAACTGACTCCTTTTGGGCATTCTGGGTAAACTTTAAGGTGGCCATTTTGGATTTTCCGTCCTAAAATTGTGTCGGTAAAGTATTGTCTTCTCATTTACCATTTGACGGATCAATTTCAAATTTTTAGGGATGATTTTTAGTATGAAAATCTAGATGTGATTAGTTTTTCTACATCCTTGGTGGGTGTTAGGCAGCCATTTTGGATTTTCCGTCCTAAAATCGTGTCTGTAATGTCTTGTCTATGCATTTTCAGGCTAACTGTTTGAGGGATCTATTTAAGGAATAAATAATGATAGGCCATTCAATATGGTGAAATTCAGCACGAGTTGGACAGAATGTTGTACAAAGCACGAACCGAAGGTGAGTGCATTTGTACTAACATTCTGTCCAACGAGTGCTGAATTTCACCATATTGAATGGCCTATCATTATTTATTCCGATTCAAACATAAAAATTAGTAAAAGCCGTGTCTGTGGAACGGGCATGAAGGAAGAATACGCATGCTGTCAAGATTCTGAAGTCGGCCGGAAAAACCCAGATGTGCAGCTGAGATGTGACGTCACTCAAAACAATGCAAATTGCAGATTGAATAGAGCATGGTCGTGCATCTATGGAGAATTAGAGAACGTTCTATATTGATTATGCTGCATTCTGATTGGTTGAGAAATTCGAATAGAGCACGGTCATGTTTGAATCCAAAATCTAGAACTGATTACTTTTTTCGTCATTATACGTAAATTTTAAGTTAGCCACTCAGGTTTTTCGTCCTAAAATCGTGTCGTGAAGGCTTGTCTGCCCATTTTCAGGATAATAGTTTGACGGATCGATTTCAAATTTTAAGGAATGATTTATAATATGAAAATCTAGAGCTAACTAGTTTATCAGCATTCTGGGTAAATAATAAGGCAACCATTTTGGATTTTCCCTCCTAAAATCGTGTCTGTAAAGTCTTGTCTTTGCGTTTTCAGGTTTACTGTTTGATGGATCAATTTCAAGGATGATTCTTAGTATGAAAATCTTGGAACCGATTAGTTTTTCCGCATTCTGGGTAAATTCTAAGGTGGCCATTTTGGATTTTCCATCCTGAAATCCTCTCTGTAAAGTCATATCTACATGTTTCCTGGCAAAACAGTTCACAGATCGAATGATTCTTTGTATTAAAAATCCCAAACCACTTAGTCTTTGGGCAGTCCTGCTAAATCTTAAGGCGGCCACATTGACTTTTTCTCTTAAAATATTGTATTTTCAACTAATTAGTCTGGGGCATTCAGGATGAAAAATTTGCAGTATATAGGATCACCCATTGATTGAGACATGTTGTATACATTTGTGTTTTTGTATCTATTTTTGGAATAACATTACATCAGGGTTACTTAGCAAGCCCAATTATTTAAAACGGTGATACATTTTGTTTTTATTACCATTTTCACTCTATTTAATGGGTAGGAGTAGGTTTAGCGCGTGTTGTAGTTCGTATCACTTATAATGTACATGAGTAATCATCTTTGCAATTATTTTATCTACTTTTCGGAATTACAATACGTCATGGTAACCCAGGAACCTGTCATTAGTAATTAAAGTTCGCGGAATATTACGATGAACAAAATTGAAGGAATACGACTGTAGGTGCCTTACAAAGAGATCTATCATAGTCCATGCACATGCAAATAACAGGTAAATGCGGGCTATGATCGAGTCTCAAAATGAGGATATCACGTATCATGGTTGATAAAATTTACACTTTTGAATTCCAAATCCAATTCAATCTCCAATAACATTTCTTCTGTATCGGGAACATATCTCCAATAGTATAGGAACACAAAAATAGTTCTTACTTCGATGTTACTATATTAGCTAGTATGATATTTTATTCTGAAAGTTTAAGTAAAAGAGATCACATTCAAAAAAATCATAAACAATTGATTTCTGAGTTAAATAACTCCGCGACTTTGTAGAGAATTATAAATGTGAAAAAGATATCATAACACGACCTATTTCTTCTTGGGAATTAATATGTTACACCGTGAGCTGTTCAAAGACGGAATAATGAATATCAATCAATTGGTCAAATATTATGAAAAGATTCAAAATATTACTGAACTTAGATATCACTCATAAATCATAGGATATCCTCTATATATACAATTAAGAAACAAATATTGAAATTGCGTAAATAATACTGTGCCCATAAAAAAGTTATAATGTTGACAACATCCCAAAAGCGTGCTTACTTGAACAGGAGCTGTATATGTAAGGACATTTTATAGCTAAAAGGATTTCCAAATGATTGTATGTATGTGAAATAATTGTACAAATGGAAATGAACGATGAAAATAAAAAATACATATCACAAGTCATCTGCACGTGTGATACTTAGTGTCGGATATTACAAAAAGAGCACGTGGATATTATTGATAATATATATGTATGTATTGTTTTCATGCCGAATAATGTTTGTTGACCTTTTCTTTTGGATAGGGTACATCATTTCGGAAACCATACTGCATATACCCTTTTGCAAAAGACATATAATGTCTGATCAATCGATATCAAACACTAAAGTGATGTCTACCTGCCCCTTTTATGCTTGCAGTAAAGAATAAAGGCCATTGATACCATTAGGTATCCTAACTCTACAAGAGACACAACTGACATACCCATGTTCATCCCGATGATACCCCCAAAATCAGATAACCATTTATTGAATGGGTAGCTAGGCTCTGCAGCAATTCTGTTCACATTTAAAGTACTAAAATATACGTTAACTTTCAAGAAGTTTGTTTCAATGAATTTGTTGAAAAATGGGTACCAGTTTATAATGGGGGAACATCTGTCCAACGACAGAAGTTCTTCAAAGTTGCAAGTGGGCCGTGGACAAGTGAGATATGGATACTCACCATTTTGCACGGCGGAATCATAAGTTTCAGTTGAAAACAAGTTATGTCCCGTCAAACAAATATTTAGACGACTTAGTCCTGTCCCTGACCAATAAGTTTTGTTCAGAAATTGACCTACTTTTGGATGGTTTCTCAGGAACGATATGAAATTTCTTTGTTTGAGACCTTTATAATATTTTTCATTTGGCCATGGAATCGAGTGTTTTAAGTGATAATACACCGTGCTTTTACATTCTCGCTTACAACCACAGTTCTTTCCACCAAGAGAAAACAGTTCTGCTACTTCCTTTTCACACTCATACAATTGAAAGTTTTCATTGAATATTTTCCAGTCAAATTGGACTTCTTCTGATTCGAAATATTTACCATAAGTTTGTTCCCTTGTAGATTCCTTTACGTATTCCTGTCTCATTTTGTATCCGCAATATTGGATTGTATGTGCTTTCTCGGCATGTGGTGGTAAAGGGAGTTTTGGATTCATGCATTTACATCTTTTTATTGTTTCAATCTGCTGACATTGTCTGAGGCACATGTTCTGAGTATACGTGTAGGTTGTGTGTTTGTTGAATCGTTCTTTTGTGCAATGTCCATGTGGGGGTTCCAATAAAGTGCGTACATCTTGTGCGAGACCAATAGAACTGAATGTTCCAGCGGAAAGGTCAATTCCATCCTTTTCAGGATCAGGCATAGTCCCAGGAGCATGAATGAATAACCTGATTCCATCGCTTGCTGTTGAAAATTCACTGTTGAATTCGTCAAGTATTGATGAGTCAGTAGAGGTTGTCAGTCTAAAAACTTTAAATGTATCTGAAGCTGTAAATTCATCCAGAGGCGAGTAGCCGTTTGTGAACAACATTAGGTTCAAACCAACATCTGGCCCAGGTTCACTTAAGATATCCCTGCCATCTTTGGAATTTGGTTGGAACATAAAACAGTTGCCATAGCGTCCAAGCAGTACTTGTTTAAAATCTCTTTTGTCACATGGTTTCCCTTTAAAGCGACATTCTAAAATGAGGTCGTCATACATTCTGAGTCGATAATTGTTCCAGTCGTGAAGGTTTTCTATATATCTTTCTTTGGAAACTATTCTTCGCATAACAGCATTAATGCATTCCTGATCTTTCTCCTTTTCATCTGAAAAAGCTCGAGATTCCAACATTTTTAGACGGTAATCATGATATATCCAAGCACTGTCGGTATCGCCCGTTTGTGTTGAAGGACGATAGTGTTTTCCAATATGCCCAACTGTGAAAACAGGTTTTACCCCACAAACTGTAACTGATGGAAATGTTACCAATTCCTCCCTGCTATACAGAATATCTTCACTGGGATAACCGAGGTACATCTGAGTGATTTCAAGGACTCCTTTTATCGTTAGGCTACTAACAAACAGGGTTATGAGAAACCAAATCATTCGAACGATCACAGATTTAGCATTGCGGACCTGGAGAAGACTCTGAATGGAGGTGACTTGCGCAAAATTTCGATACTTGCTTCTTCAGCGAATTATATTTGAATTCCCAGGCATCAGCAATCGTGTCGTTATATTGAGTCTGGTCAGTTACTATTGGCGTGTCCGACATCAATTCTTCAATATTCATCCTATCGTTCACAATGTGTTCATCATTTAGAGCCTGTTCAGTTATCGTGCCTTCTGTTGCTCTCTCAATATTTGGCCCATCTATGTCAACAGCAATTACCATGCCCGGGCTTCCAATCTTTTTGAAAGTACTCGATTCTTTGACGTTACTTCTATCAACATTTACAGCCTGCGTTACTCTGTCTATGTCTGCTCTATTTGTATTGTCAGTATTTTTCTTATCATCAAATTTACCAGTCTGCGTTACGAATTCTGTGTCTTCCATATTTATATTGTCAGCATTTCTCTCAACATCAGCTTTTACAATCTGCATTGCGTTTTCTCCATCGGCCATTGTATCAGTATTTATCATTGGATGTTCCATTATCATTAATGATGTGGTCAAATACTAATTGCGTTTTGTTATTTTGCTCATTACAGTCAATTGTATGTTTTGTCACACAATGCGTCTTTACCTCTACCGCTTTTCTTTTTATCATCGCAACGGAATAGTTACCATATTTTTGAGAATTTTCCTATGCAGCACCTGAATTACACAGTGATGAAAAGTTTAGGCGAAAAAACCGATTACATTTTAACTACCTTGAATTGTAAATCAATGGTGGCATCTTACAAGGGTTGATTGATTTGTTTCTCCAGGTTTTACATCATTTCATTTCAATCAGTTCTCAATAAACCTCACATTGAAATAACACAGGGGGTCAAAATGAGTTGATGCTCTATATCGGTGATTCTCACAAAGTAAGTATAACACTAAACATGCAGAAAGTGAAACAATTCAATTGTCTACTCAGAAATTATTATTAATAAATGTTTAACCGAATAGATATCCAAAAATCTGATTTGCCCCTAACCCACCATTTCCCCTTGGTTACATGGCTTCTGCCATTTTTGAATTCCTCAACTTTGACATCATTTTTTGACCTATTGTAATAGAGATTGAATTGAAAACTTCCTGAAATATAGAGAATAGAGTCAAGGTACATATCGATTTACATTATTAGTTTTTCTTTCGTTTCGGGCTTAGAAAATAGAGTTTGAAAAAATATGGGGTTTAACATGTAAACCTATGAGGAAAAAGACTGGTCCTTGGCTTTCTGAGGAGTATAATCAAGGACCTCCTCCTAGAAAACGATGCATTGTTATTGATTATAGGGGAACATTCAATCAATTTTCCTCTTTTTATCAAATACCCCCAAAGTCCAAAATCCCTGTTTGTATGAAAGAACAAAGGGATCACATGAGTTTGATTAGCCAAATACATTTAAATCCCGATAAGATGCCATCAATGTGTTAAAAATGCATTTCTTTATAGAGTACATACATTTATGAAGTATAGAATAAACAAAATCACATAATTGAGCATTTGAACCATCAATACATAAATCATTTGGATAATATTCAAACTCAATTGCATGTTCAACATGTCAAAAATAATATGTGTAAGTACACAATTCTTTAAACATACCTTCTTTCCCGTTCGAGAACGCGCCACCATAGTGAACAAATCATATGTTGATAACTATACATCACTCTAAATCTACGAGGATACGCCTAAGTGTAAATGCAAATTTGAATTATACCAGGTATTTATACATATTGGTAATAACGTACCATATGTACCATTAGTCGTTCATTATTGTAATCTTTGCGTCCATTTAGTCATACTAAGTCCACTGTTTTTATTTTTTCTTAAAGGTTAATCTAAAACAGCGCTCTTTGTCACCAAGTGTATCGTTTGGAATTTTTTATCGTTTATTAAGCTATTAAACATTTTTATTCTCTTTCAAACAGATTTTCAATGAAAGTCATTTATTAATTTTAATTTTTTTTTGTTAATATGAATATCAATTGCAACGTGTTCTGCTAAACTGTCTAGTATAGTTCTAATGTTAAGCGTTCTATCTTTACTAGCTGCAAGCACACAGCTATTAGTCGATATATTATAAGCGGATGGGGTACATTTTGTATCTCTTTAACCAATGGCAGTGTTTTTGTGCAAGTCTTAATTAGGATTGACTATATTACATACATAAATAATCACCTTTGCTGTTATTAGACTCTCGATTGCAAGTTGTATTGCTTTTGCCTGTATTCTTATCCTCAACTCATCATGTTTTTTCAGTAACTAGAATACTTTGGGTAAATCTGATCATATCATCAGTTAGGATATATGACCAGCCTACTCGGAAATAAGGTCAACGTTTTAAATAGGTTGACTTTTGGATTCAAATTTAGGCCAGCCATATAACTAAAGATCTACTGAGGTCTGAAAAGTGAATTTTTAAGGTTAAAGGACAAGGTCATCAAATTAGGTCATAAACAAACTGTGTTATATAAGTTTCTCTATGTTCGAGATTAAAAAAAATTGCAAAAAGTACTAGGATAAAATTGACCTCGATTTGTGCTTTGATGGCCTATTTTCTGAAAAATTTAATATTTTCTGCAAAGTTATTCGAATAAAGTTTATTAAAATCGCAGATGGGTAGGCCAAATCACCCCCTTACGAGTTGTTATGAATAAACACATTAGGGTTAAACCTCAAATTCAAGGCCAGGTCAAGCTGCCCTGGCTAAGCGATTCACCTTACTTGGAGATCCACATAAGTGATTGAACAACTTCCAAAACAATGTTCATATGAAATAACGATAGGACATAACCGTCTCTATTAAAAAAACAGGTTTGAGATCCTTGTGCAATGCCTTGGTCACATTTGCTCAGATTTTCACTACGGCGCCCGGCCGATTGCAATTGAGTATTTTGTTCAAAACTGAATACAATATTGAACAAGACACTCAATCGGCCGGGTGCCGGCCGATGGATCGGAGCAAATGTAACCCAGGCAGTAAGACCACTACCTAATAATGTAGCAATAGTATCATTCAAGAGATGACCCCCTAAGGAGGAAAAAATGTAGGAAAGATCTGTCTTCAAAATAGTGCAAAATTCTCATGAAATATATTGACTATATAGGATATAACTGTAGGATATTGTTTATAAATAGTCAGTGGCCGCATTGTGCGAATTTTGTGAGGACATACAGTGTGGATAAAGGTGAATATCAATCTAAACTTTTCCTGCACTGCTGTATTATTTTTGAGCTGACATTTTTATATGTGCTTTTATATGCTGGCTCTATTGTTCATGTATAGAGTCAGTGATTAGCCTTACCTGTATTGAACAGTGGTGACATAGTTAGCAATACACAGTACAGTAAGACTAGTGCTGAGCAATATAGCTTAGGGACCATCTCAAAAACGCAATTATGGATATTCAAGATAAAGTGAGTGATATTGATTTATGGATCAAACTGGAGTCGAAAGGCATTGGTAGAATAACTGAACTGGATTTGAGAGATGCAATCTTAAAAAGCTGTGAACTAAACTTGGGCAGTGGAAAAATCAGTGTAAATAACATTCTTGGAATACAACTTTACCAGAATGCATATATCATCTACACTGACTCCCAAGCTACAAAGCTTAAACTTGTCTCAATGGGTTATGCAACTGTAAATAATAGGCAATATGGCCTGAGCGACTTCAAAATGGAAAAGGAATCTCTCGAATACAAACACAGAAAACACACACGCATTTCGATTCATGGTATCCCCCTTCATGTGTCAAACCAGGAGATTGAAGCATGGGTAAATACATTTGCTGAACGGGCATCTGAAGTGCAATGGCACAAACGTTCAAGAGGCCCGAAAGACCAAACAAATGGGCTGTTAACAGGACATAGATTTTGTTACGCCAAGAACATTACTTCACCACAGAATCGATACACAACCTACTCTATGGCTGACCCATTAGATGGGTCGCTGATTGATGTAAACATTGTGATATACCATGATAATCAACCGATCAACTGTCGTATATGTCGTAAGGACCATGATACACAGCAGTGTCCCTCTCGATCTGTTATAACCTGCTTCGGATGTGGCATCCAGGGCCACAGGAAATCTGAGTGTCCAAGGAGTAAGAAGCGCGACACCACCTGTTGGAAATGTGGCATCGTAGGGCATCGCCAAATTGACTGCCCTGAATCTGCACAGGTTGCGACTGAGTTAGGCCCACAACAACCCACTGATCCAGCCCCAAAGGATGCGGCTAATAATATGAGTAAACCAGAACCCTCTACATCCGGGACTCAGGCAGTATCAGCAGCAGCACCTAACAACGTGAAACCACAATTCACAAAACCAGGTACCGCTGCAGTAAAAGCAAGAAAAAGACAAGTTATGAATCCTCTTAAGAAGTCAGGTTCTCTGCCTAACTTTAACCTGAAGAGGTCAGCAGCAAGCCCCCCTATTGACCCAAATGAAGATAAGAAACACAAACTAGGTTCTATTTCACCAGTGAACAACTCAGCAATTATACAGAGTGAGATCATAAATGCAGCGCCAGATGACAAGGACTAAGCATGATATACCAATAGATAATATAAACACTCTATGCTTAACATATACCAAGGAAATGTACAAGGACTTCGGAATAGGATGACGCGACATGCATTTTTTAGATATCTTAAAAATGCTAAAATGGACATTGCCTGCTTGCAGGAATCATATATAACACAAAATGATATAGATACATGGGCAAAAGAATGGGGAGGCAAAATATTTGCAAACCCCGGAACCAAGCACAGTAAGGGAGAAATAATATTAATAGATAAACATTGTGGAATTGAAGATATACAGGTTATTGTAAAACAAGACAGACTTTTATTTGTGGAATTCACGTATGAGAATGAGGTGTTCGTGGTTGGTTGCATTTATGCACCGAACAAATCAAAGGATAAGGTTATATTCTATCAAG